CCCAAGTCACTAGGATAGCCTGCACTGTTAGCACACTGTGTCATTACGTACGCAGTATTGGATAAATATCGTCCGGGCAGCAGGAGCCCATGAATTTCATTTGCAACTGCTAATTAAATAAAGAACTTGGATTTCAGTGGTTACCTTTCAGTGCCGCTTATGCTCTAATAAAGAATTCGAACAGTCAATTCTTGGCAAGTTATCTTATCAAAATTATTTGAATGTATTTATTGTCGAATAAAGCAGTAACTATTCTGAGTATGTAAGAAAGCCGCACCTAGCTTCAGTCTAATGGCTTTGAACTTACAGTTTCAAATATACAGTGCATTCTCTACTTTGTGTGCTTAATTCATTCTCCTGCTTCGTACGGTCGTTCATTGGAGCGTCACTGGGGTTATCCATCTTCGTTGCATGATTTGTAGTACTTGCTAAAAACTAGTAATTCAATTTTAAACAGGCGAACTTCAAAATTCGAATTCTTATGAAAGGAGGTGTCAATTCATTGCTGCATGAACAACAGTTGATGATCTTTGCTTCCTGATCAATGGGTAAAGGCAATAACTCTATATTTAAAACCGTCTGTTGGATTTGACATCCTTCTTGCCTTACCAAATATTAGTCTGAGATCTTGTAAACACCTGGATATAATTTCGGGAAACATTTCATAATGAAATTGAAAAACGTTACAATATTCTGCGAAATTATAGAACATCAACATGTTTCCGTATCTAAAATTGTGATGATTCAAGGGAGACCAAATCATAAGGTAGACAAAAATCATTGATGATTAAAATTTCATAATAAGCAACTAGATGGCGAGTTTACGTTTATATAGAAAGAAATGCTGAAAGGAAGAGAAATAAAAAAAGCAACAAGTAGAAAATGAAAAATCGAATGCGTGGAACTTCAAGGAAACGCTTCAAGGAAACGCTTCAAGGAAACGGTCGAGTACTCAACTGCAGAGTGGTTCAAGAAACTACTGAAAACAACCGAATCAAAAAGAAATCAAATCACAGAACGACGATTGGGTAGCGAGAAACTTTAGCTCCCCAAGTAGAATGCGGATCTGTCATCAGGTATAAATAACAGATTCTAAAGCGATTGGATGGTTTCGCTTTATTAGAAAACTGTACAAAGATAAGGACAACAACGCCATTGGAGACAACAAGGAAACTGAGGATACTAAGGAAGTTGACAAAATCCCGGATAACTCGCCAAAAGAAATGCGATCTGCAGTAGAGCAGTCAGAGCGAGGAGGATCTCATGGTAGTTGAAGAGAGCATCGTACTGGAACTCATAGAATCAAGAGGTAAAGCACTGACCAATATATTTGCACGCCTGCTTTCACGCTGTCTTCAGTAATTGAAAATTCCTGACGAGTGGACTACTGCATCAGTGATTTTGATCGACGAGACTGGAGACAGAGGATTGGAAGAATTACAAGCAAATCAGTTTCTTATCAATTATCTACAAGATCTTAGGAAAGGTACTGACAAACAAATTTCAATAAAACTGGATGCTGCGCAGTCAAGGGAACAAGCACGATTCAAAAGTGAATTCAGTGCGTTGGATCCACTCCAGATGGTACAGCTAGTAATTCATGCCAGCAACGAATATATACCTCCTCTCGTCCTGAGGTTCGATTCGTCGATTTCAAAAAGGCTTTCGACCAAGTGTACATTCGTTCGGTACTGGATTCCTTAAGAAACCGGGAAATCGAGGAAAGATGCGCAAACTTGATCGCCGTGTTTTACAAGAATGCAATTGATAGTACGAAACTTCACAAAATAGAAAAGGCGTTCTGCAAGATAATGTAATATTGTCGAATTATTCACAGCAGCCCTATAGGAAGCATCCAAGACGCTCCGTTGGAAAGATCAGGGCTGAACATAAATTCCCGCTACGTAAGCCACCTCTGATTTTCAAATGGAATTCTGATCCTCTGGCCAGAGGGATTTCAAAATGGAATACGAGAGCTAAACGACGCCAGCATGAAAGTTGGACTGAACATGTCTTGGTCATGTCTTGAGCAGACCCAGGTCATGTTCAACTTGTTCTTAGCCGCACGAATCGTTGAAGTCGACGGATTTAGACTTGAAAAAGTGTAAAATTACCTCTCCCTGTGATAACTTATTTTCGCTACTGAAAACCGACTACATGAAATCAGCTGACGAGTACAGACGGCATGCAGCACTTTCGTTTGATTAAAAATGGTCATATCCAGGAAGTTGCCCTTGTGTTTGAAACGGAAAGTTTTTGACCACTGTGCGCTCCTAATGCTAACCTATAGGTGCGAAACGTGGACCCTGAGCTCCTCATAAACTGCTGACTACATAACACAACGTAGAAATATGTATGTTGGAATAACAAGAAAAGATAGGAAAACAAATGAATGGATAACAGCACAAACAAGAGTCTGCCATATCACTGCCAAAGTAATGAATTTAAAGTGGCAATGGGAAGGATACGTTGGAGAAAGAATCAACATTGTTGGACCAGAGAAATGTTAAACTGGGTTCCAATGTGAAATAAACGAACGACCCGTAATAAGACTTCCAAGCTGATGAGAGGATGAGCTGAAGAAGTTTCATGGATTAAGAGGAATGAAAACGGCAGATTAAAGAAATTTACGGCAAATTCTTGCAGAAGTCTTCATCGAGCAGTGGATTGACAAAGGCTGATGATGATAAAAGCAAACGCTGCCTTGATCAAGATCAATTCAAGGTAGGAGAACTTACTGGGCACTGAAAATACATTGACTGTGGAACACATGTTTGGACAGATGCAAACATCAAAATAATATAAGCTTCATTCTGCTTGAATCATTTGCGAAACTCACATTAGCTGTACGCCAGCTATAGGTGGCAGGATAAAAAGTTAAATCTGAATGTTCAATATGGACGAATTGGTTCATCATGGGAACGATGGTTGTTCGTGTGAAGCCAACTAGCTTGGTTCAGTTTCATCTTTTGTTCCTGACAGAATTCCTTAATATCATAACGTATTATCTTTCAGCTCACCTTACAGCTTTGCTCCTCATTGCATTCGCCAGGCTTCCTAGCTCAGTATTCATCCTTCAGGTATAACTGGCATCATTTCTCGTTATGTACCTCTGTCATCTAAGTCATTTGCATTCGTCGTCCGTACTTTCCTTCTAATAACCCTTTGACAGAAGCAAGACATCACACTTTCGTAATAACTCATCAATTCAAAGCTTATTCCTCCGTAGTTTCCTCTCAATCAGTTTACTTTGGTCGTCTTTTATAGGAGGATGGTGCGTGCTTTGTTCTGCAACCATCTAAGAGTAGTTCAGTTTAGCCAATAATGAAATCGCTCTGGATCTGAACCGGCGAACTGTAAATCTGAACGATAACAGGACTTCTGAGGCTCACCCGCCTGTCTGTCTTAAAGATTATCCTTGGGACACAGGCGGAACATCGGTAGTGCTCAATCATCCGATTAACCAGCTTGTTTGTGTTGTGCATAAGCAACAGGTGTTTCATGTTGTTTTCAGCATTCAAGATGTCCGGCATTCCTCACCTTCTCTTTTGCTGCTCCTTCGTCTAAAATATTTAGTTCTGGTGCGTCCTTTCCTCTTCCTCACTTTTCCTTCAATCATACAGCAATATTCTCCAAGCACAAAGTTACCCTAATCTTTTTTCGTTTCAGCCAATTTTATTGGATTCTTGCATCATCCCCTTGTGTTGCTGCTCATTTCATTGCAATTCAATGCATGGAGCGCGAACTCTTTTGCTTTCTATGGTATTATCACTTTTAACCGTATATCTTTCGCGCAGTCACGCAGATGTTAAGTATCATCAGAACAGTTGCTTTTCTGATCATGTGATTATCTGTGCAATGCGAAGATGGTCAGTCCTTGAGTTCGTCGCCGGTTTAGCAAGAGGGACTTCGCGTTGTCAGTGCAGCAAATGGTACTCGCAACTCTGAACGTGATTTGAAACGTGGCAAAATTTTTCTGCACTGATACGGAGGTGTCACCAGTTGCAATGATTCGAGCCACCGCACCATGTCGCAGGAAGATCTGACTGTACAGCATTAAAATGAGTGCGCTTGCCCACTTCCTACCTGATTCGCTCAGCACAGTGTCAATGCACGTCGCATACATCGCACAATCGATCATATACGACAACAGCAATCAGTCAATTGGTCGAACGTGATTAATTTTTCTGATACGGTTTGAATTTTTTTAACCGAACCAAAAACGTACACGTGAATAGCATTCCTACTGTAGATTTACATAGCCATGTAAGCGGACGTCGAGATAGCACAGAGCCTTTGGCCTCATGTCTATTTTTATTTGTTCGATTACAGAGACTCGAGCGAGACACGCTGCCGTCATCGCGCCTCACCGCCGCTGGCCAGTCCAGCCAATGTATTGCGACGGTTGAACTGCGTCTCGTTCAGGTCACTTCCGTCCGTCATTTGGTAGCGAAACAAAGACAAATGCTAATAAAGGACTGAGTGCTACTGGGCGACTGTTGTACAATCAGTCACTAATTACGGTCACAGCTTCTGCGTTCGCCTTTCAAGCTGATCACCATATTGACTTTGCAGCTACTTATTAGACATAAGATCAACATTAAACGCACACGCCACTGATTAACTTATTAATAATTGACTGCCTCTATAGCGTTTCTGATTACAGTTGATATAGGGCACAATGCCGCGAGGTGTCTCAGAGGTGGACCGCAGGTGGGGCGAGACTAGCAGCCGAAGCGGTCATCAGCTTGCAAGCTGGCAAGACCCCAAGACGCGGGCTTGTTAAACAAAAGCAATAATGACAGCAGGGTCTTCGAAGGTGACGCTTCCGATCGATAGACGCCGTAAGGATCAATGTGCCTTTATCCAGAGGTGGCTATGGTCGGAAACCTGTTGCTGGCGCGGACACCGAGGAGGTACGGCGTGAACCGACTGAGCTACTGAGCCTTCGTGTGACGGCACGGCGGTGTGCGTGTTCTCCAATTGATACTGATACTGAGTTAATTTATTGCCAGCACCAGCGCGAATTCGGTCGTGTTCTCACGAATTCTGTGACAAAGCTTTGGAGACAAAGTGCCGCCAATAAAAGTAAACAAAAGTGGCGAAGGCAGTCTGTCGGTGCCGCACCAACCGGTTGCACTAGATTCATTGTGCGCCGTACGGTCGTGCGGTGGTGCCGAATGCAGACCCCCTGTGGCCGGTGTGTCGGTTGGTCGACCGGACAGGACCAGCAGAACGGTTGGCGGATCGGTCATGGTCCTTGCAATCCGGCCACTGCCAGGCGGCAACCTCACGCGCTCGCACATTGGCGAAGATTTATGAGGAGTTTTCGATGACCAACTTACCAACGGTAACTCAGGTCAGTCACAAGCACAACCCGACGGACGAATGCCCGTCACATGTTTAATCCATTTTCTGCCTTTTCCGTTCTGCTTCAGAGCAGTCGATTGCAGACGCTGAAACATGTAATAGACGTACGCACCATTACCCAATACTGATGATAATGCACAAACAGAATAACAGCGAAAGGCTCAGCTGTTGTGTCCTTCATAGCGACACAAATTGCAGCACTCCGCACCTTGCTTCGCACGCATAAGTGAACAACCAGGAAATACATTGGCTGAAGAATTGGTAGCATCCTACCGGACTAGTAACGCTGACTGGAGGGATCCTTTCATAACTACCACTGAATGGAAAATGTGAAAGCACGTCATGCTTACTCTGAGAAGGGAGTATGATG